GAAAACCATGCAAATACATGGAAATTAAATAAATTTTAGAAATTAAATAAATACATGGAAATTAAATAAATAACTAAATTTAAGATCAACCTGGTTCTGAATGCTAGTTGGATGAAATAAGATTGAAATTTAAAAATTCTTTGAACTGAACAATAATAATGGCACAACCTATCAAAACGTCTGGGATACAGCAGATGTGATGCTAAAAGGAAAGTTCATAGCATCAAGTTCCTCTATCAAAATGTCTGAAAGAGCATAAGTTGACAGTGTAAGATAACAACTCAAGGAACTAGAGAAACAAGAACAAGCCAAACCCAAACCCAGCAGAGGAAAAGAAATAACAAAGATCAGAGCATAACTAAATGAAACAAAGAACAACAACCAAAAAATCCAAACGATAAATGAAATGAAAACCTGGCTCTTAGAAAAGATAAACAAAATTGATAGACCATTAACAGCATTAACCAAGAAGAGAGAAGAGCCAAATAAGCTCAATTAGAAATGAAACAGAAGATATTGCAACCCATGCCACAGAAATACAAAAGATCATTCAGGGTGACTGTGAACACCTCCATGTGCACAAATTAGAAAACCTAAAGAAGATGAATAAATTCCTGAAAATGTACAACCCTCCTAGATTAAAAAACAACAACTCTTAACAGACTAATAACAAGAAGTGAGATTGAAATAATAATTTTTAAAAATTGCCAACCAAAACAAAAATGTTCAGAACCATGTGGATTCACAGCTGAATTCTGTTAGACTTTCAAATAAAAATTGGTGGGGGCAAGGACAAGATTGCTGATGAGAAGCAGCATCCCATAAAAAAGAACAATAATAGTGTGTGTATCCTGCACCACAACCTGAGGTATCCAGGTTCTCTCATCAGAACTGACTAGGTGGCTGGCGTGACCCATGAAGAGGAAGTAAGAGCAGTGTGGTGCCACAGCCCGCCTGACACCCACATGGGCCTGGGGAGCCCCCACCCCCACCCAGCTATCAATTATACCACCATACATTGTAATGCCTCTCATTGCAAGGCTTAAACATACTGTAATCCATTTACCCGCATTCAAGATCGCAGTTATGTTGGAAATTTCTGCCTGTTGATCTTCCTGCTGATTAAATAGTCTGTTAAGAGAAAGCAGAAATGTGTGAGCATCAGCATGGAAAACAGGGTCAGGCACAGTGGCTCATGCCTGTAATCCCAGCACTTTGGGAGGCTGAGGTGGGCAGATCACGAAGTCAAGAGAATGGGACCATCCTGGCCAACATGGCGAAACCCGGTCTCTAAAATTAAAAAATTAACTGAGCACGGTGGCTCACGCCTCCAATCCCAGCACTTTGGGAGGCTGAGGCGTGCTGATCACGAGGTCAAGAGATGGAGACCATCCTGTCCAACATGGTGAAACCTCATCTCTACTAAAAGTACAAAAATTAGCTGGGCATCGTGGTGTGTGCCTTACATAATTCCAGCTACTCGGGAGGCTAAGGCAGGAGAATTGCTTGAATCTGGGGCATGGAGGCTGTGGTGAGCCTAGATGGTGCCACTGCACTCCAGCCTAATGGAAGAGTGAAACTACACCTAAAATAAATAAATAAAAATTAAAAATATATATAAAATGAGCTGGGTGTGGCTGACCGTGCCTGTAATCCCAGCTACTTGGGAGGCAGAGGCAGGAGAATCACTTGAACCCTGGAAGCGGAGGTTGCAGTGAGCAGAGATTGCACTACTACACTTCAGTTTGGTGACAGGGCTAGATTCCATCTCAAAAACAAACAAACAACAACAAAAAATACATGGAACACAGTGATGATGGTAGTGTGCACCAGGATTCAGATACCTTACCAGTACAGTTTTCCCCAAACCTCTTTATTCCCCTTTAACTATTTGTTTCATTGCCATTGGGGCACCCAGGTGGTAAGACCATTTGCTACTGACAAAGAGTTGGTATAAAAGTGACAAATTCTTCTGGCCTCCTCCTGAACATCGCAGAGGAACGACTACTAGTTCAGCTAACTGGCTGCCCCCACCCCTTCCTTCATCAGAAACGTTTATGTTTTTAACAGGATTATAAGCCACGGCCTTCCAGCATTGGGTCCCACGAATGTATTTCATGGATCCATCAGTAAACCAAGCATGTTTCTGATCCTCTGGGCTTAGTTATTTAAAGGATTTGTCCCATTTGGTGTGTGGGGGAGGTTTCCTTCCCTATCTGCAGGACTCGCTTGGTGGTTTCCTGAGCTAGCAAGTTTTCCACATCCTCATGTAAAAGTGGTACCCCCTTTGGTTTTGGCTTAGCCTGGTTTTGTATGTCCCATTTCCATTTTATGACGCTACTTTCTGGGCATGCCCTACCTGGTGGGTTTTGGGGGAACTCATGACCCAAGTCGTAATAGGAATTTCAGGCCTCATAAAGACATCATGGTTGAAGTGGAGGTATTCCATTTCCAGCAAAGCCCAATAGCAAGCTAACAATTGCTTCTCGAAAGGGGTATAAGCTTTTCTGACCTCTGGCAGTTTCTGGGTCCAAAACATAAAAAGTACCCTCTTCCCATCTTGTTTCTGCCTCAGGCTCCAATTAGCATGTTGATCTAGGACAGTTACTCAGTTTGTCTGGCCCATCCCGTATGGACCATAGATCCAGGGCCAGTTGCACCGCTTGTTTAGCTTGTTCAAAAGCCATGCTCTCTTTCTCTCCCCATTGAAAGTCATACCTATTTCTAGTGACTGCACGCAGAGGCTGTAAAATGTTACCCAAGTAAGGAATATGATGTATTCAGAATCTAAACAAGACAATACGTTTCTGGGCCTCCTTCTTAGTGATGGGGGTTGCAAATTATAGTATTTTAGCCTTAGCCTTTGGTAAAGTGGACTGTTTCTTTGCATTCCATAGGATGCCAAAGAATTTTACATTTTTGTGCAGGTCCTTGAATTTTACTAGGGTTAATTTCCCATTTTTGAGATAGGAGCTGGGTTTTTATCTGCTCCAAGCCCCGACTGACTAGTTCTTTAGTTTTACCTTGACCAGGCCACCTGGACAGCTGCTTTTTTCAGCAATAGGCTAATAGCTTTGAGCCTGATCAGTCAAGACATTGACTGGCATTGGGCCAGGGTCAGTCTGGAAGTCAGATGAGCATTTTCCTTTTCCAGCTTACATTTCTCTTGTAGCAACCAGCCCCTATCTTGATACATTAACTTATAAGCAGCCCCCTATCTTGATACATTAACTTATAAGCAGCAATCAAACACCATCCACTTTGGGAGATCCCTCAGCATCTCCTTTGGTGACCGGAATCCCCTGCAGCACTTCACACACAGTCAAAGGTTTAAATTGTACTAATTTAGATTCCCAATTCCCTCAAAGGCCAGTTCCCCTGGACCATTCAATCACAAAGAAGGAGAACTGGGAGAGATCTCATCCCAGGATATGGGAAGTCTCGGAGCCTCCAGACCTGTCCTTCTGGTCAAAAAGGGGCACAGTTTTGTTTTCAAATCCTGTTTGTGATGCCAGAAATGTTCTGTGTGGGAAATGTGAGAGGGGAGAAGAAAAGACAAACACACAAAACCTTTAAGGGTAAACAACCTTTATCCCACATCAATAGCAATGGAGACATAATAAACTAATGATATAATAACCAAATGGTATAATAAGCAAATAAATATCATAAGCAGATTGATATAATAAGCAAACTGCAGTAAGAAGAGGAGACGGGAAAAGATATATATACATACATATATATATATGTATGTATGTGTGTGTATATATATATTTACCCTCATCAGACTATGGAGGATTACCAACTGAGTGGGAAGCAACAGTCTGGGCTCCAGAGTTGGCCAGACAAGCAGAAGTCTCATGAAGCTTCAGGGTGGTCTGGGACCCTAGCTCTTTTGTAAGAGTTGTTTTGTAAGAGTTGTGTGGCATAAGGCCCAGTGAAGAGGGCCATTCGTGACTTGCCTCAAGGAACACAAAAAGGTGAACTTGTTTTTGTGATTGTCTATTGCTTTTCAACAACTAATGTATAGGAATAGATTGAAATAGATATTTCTTTGATACAAGGCTGGATGAACACCTCAGGGGCTCATGGGACCTGTTCTGGGACTTGGTGGCAATTGTTTGTGTCCACGTTCAATTGAGTTCAAATTTAACATTTAACTTTTCCTCCACAAATTTCCCTGTCTTGCTGAATCGGCTTTGTCTAGGCAAAGGGCAAAATGAACCCCTTGGGCCATTACACAACCTCCGCCTCATGGGTTCAAGTGATTCTCCTGCCTCAGCCTTCAGAGTAGCTGGGACTACAGATGTGCACCACCACACCCAGCTAACTTTTTATATTATGAGTAGAGATGGGGTTTCACTGTATTGGCCAGGTTGGTCTTGAACTCCTGACCTCAAGTGATCTTAGCCTCCCAAAGTGTTGAGATTACTGGCATGAGCTACCTGTGCCTGCCCCTAAATGATTTCTTTCTACCTCCTATAGCAGTTTGAAATTACTTAAAGGTTGTTTCAAACTGAAAAAATAAAAAGAATGTGGATAAAAATAAAATATAAATAGATAAAAAAATTACAAGGATTACAAAATATATATGTAAATCTGGAGTGGTCAAAAATGACATATTTGATTTATTTATAAGATTTTATTAAAATTAGCTTTAATAGTTAATACACTATTACCAAAGTAAAAGTTGATTTTTTTCTTGAACAAAAATTTTATGTATTATTAATATGATAGCAAAAATACTTCCGTTCACCTTTGAATACATTCAACGAGAGAGGGTAAAGAAGAGATAGGATTTTCCCATACTCTGGGGTGAGCCTGGCTCAGCTCAGGAGGGAAGCCCTGCCTGAAAAGGCTGCAGCTTAGACTGTCACTCTTTCTTCAGTCCGCCCAGCATCTGATCACATCTTCTGTCACTCAGGGCCTGCGGGGGCGGGGCCTTAAGCATTATCCAATCAGGGACGCTGGGCTGGAAACCGACCAATAGGGCACGCAGCTGGAATGACCAGGACGGCTTCCGGATTTGGCGGGGTCCTTGTCTCTTGCTGCAGCTGGAGCTCCAGGTCTGGTCTTCACTGCTCTGTGTCCTCTGCTCCTAGAGGCCCAGCCTGTGTGGCCCTGTATCCTGCAGGTATTGAGAGATCCACAGCTAAGACGCCGGGACCCCCTGGAAGCCTAGAAATGGTGAGAGTGCCGGTCCAGCGTCCGGATAGAGGGGAAGAGGCTGTGGCGGTACTCAGGGCTCCCCGCAGTCAGCTCCACAATCTGCACCCGGAATTCTCCTTACCCAGCTCCACCTCAGTCCCGTTCAGCCATAAGATGGCGGTACGCTGACAGCCTGGCCCCGGGCGTCATGTCGCTTCCCCGCGCAGTGATTGTGCCCCTGGCCTGGAGCGCTCTGTGGGCAGCTCTGCACCCGCAGTGCCGCATCTCTCCCAGATTGTGCAAGGACCACCGGAGGGTGACAGGGAAGAATCCTGAGTCTCGGTGCGGGTTCATGAATGGGAAGAACTTTGATCTGTGGGGTTCACAGTTTCTCTTTTCTGCTTACAATTGTATGGGGCCGGGCTTGGTCAAAGTGCGGCCGAGACGGGCGGATCAGTTGAGGTCAGGAGTTGAAGACCAAGACTGACCCAAAATGGGGAAACCCCTTGTCCACTAAAAGTACAAAAATTAGCTGGGTGTGATGGCGAATGTCTGTAGTCCCAGCTTCTCGGGAGGCAGAAGTGAGAGAATCGCTTGAACCTGGGAGGCGGAGGTTGCAGTGAGCTGTGATTTCTTTCACTCCAGCCTGGGCGACGGAGCAAGACTCTGTTTAAAAAAAAAAAAAAAAAAATTATGGGAGTCACTGCAAAAATATCGAACAATTTAATCAGAGTGATTCAAGAATTGTGAGCACCCAGCTACAGTTTGTAGTTTGTAGTCCATGGAGGGGCTTGAAGAAGAGACATTTGTGAAATGCATGAGGAAGAAAACCAAATTCAGTAATTTATTAGGTTTAGTAATGTAGTTTCTTAAGTTGTACAGTCAAGGTGGAAATTTCCTGGTTATGTAATTGAGCTTAACTGGCAGTTTATAGTTGCTTAAGCCTGAATTTTGTTTCCCCTAATGTAGTAATTTACCAAAAAATGCACTTGAGCTTAGATTTTTTTCTTTTTTTTTTAAGAAATAGAAATCCGGGGACTAGGGCCTCTTCAGTCTAATTGCCTGCCACTCAGTTATTTTCACATCCCACAGGGGACTGATTTTCCCTGGCATTTTTCACATGTGTCCCAAGCAGGGCCTCAGGTGTACCCCATGTTCCTCAATTAATTATTATTATTATTATTTTTTGAGACAGTCTTGCTCTATCGCCAGGTTAGAGTGCAGTGTCAGATCTCGGCTCACTGCAACCTCCACCTCTTGGGTTCAAGCCATTCCCCTGCTTCAACCTCTCGAGTAGTTGGGACTACAGGCACACGCCACCACTCCCAGCTAATTTTTGTATTTTTAGTAGAGATGAGGTTTCACCATGTTTCCCAGGAATCCTAGTTACCAAGGAAAAAAATAGGGAAAATCTCTCTTCCATTTTGGCTGTAGACAATGAACGTATTTCCACAGGAAAATGTGGTAGATAGTTGATGAGTTACATAGATTCATCAACACATTAGTTCCTCTTTTTGCAGGGTAAATTTGTGACAGTGAATATCTCAGTTCTATATTCTTTTTTCTTGAGTTCTGAGTTAAATGCTAAATTATAAGTGATGAAACATGGTACCTTCTAGAAGTGTTCCCATATGACTTAATTTTTTACTACATTATTTTATTTATTTACTTATTTTTTTGAAACAGAATCTCACTCTGTCACCAGGCTGGAGTGCAGTGGTGTGATCTCGGCTCACACAATCTCTGCCTCCCAGGTTCAAGCAGTTCTCCTGCCTCAGCCTCCCAAGTAGCTGGGATTACAGGTGTGCACCACCACACCCAGCCAATTTTTTTGTATTTTTAGTAAAGACAGGGTTTCACCATGTTGGCCAAAATGTTCTCAATCTTCTGACCTTGTGATCCACCCACCTTGGCCTTCCAAAGTGTTGGGATTACAGGCATGAGCCACCGTGCCCGGCCTACTTCATTATTTTTAAGATAAATAATAAAATAATACATATATTGTCTGAAAGAAGTAGATATATATGTTTTTCTTATGGAGGTATAAAATGCAAGCATCTTAGCCAGGTGCAGTGGCTCATGCCTGTAACCTCAGCACTTTGGGAGGCCTAGGCAGGTTCATTACTTGAAGTCAGGAGTTTGAGACCAGCCTGCCAACATGGTGAAACCCCATCTCTACTAAATACAAAAATTAGCCAGGTATGGTGGCGTATGCCTGTATTCCCAGCTACTTGGGAGGCTGAGGCACAAGAATGTCTTGAACCCGGGAGGTGGAGGTTGCAGTGAGCTGAGATCTTTCTAGCCTGGGCCACGGAGCAAGACTGTATCTCAAAAAAAAAAAGAATGTAAGAACCTTAAAATTTCCTTCCCTATGTAAACACTGCGTTTGAGTAATTTCCCTGGATTTTTCAAACACTTAGTTTCAAAAACCAAGTGACTAACTCTGATATGGAAATTAAAGCTTGAACCTAGTGACTCCAAGCTAAGGCTAATATTAAGCCTGCAACTGGATGTTATTACATACTCAGTTTTTTCTGGGGAGCCTCCCCTGCAGATGTCCCAGCCTAATCACTCCAGCCATAGAAGGAGCCTTTATCCTGAGAGAAGCTATAGAGCCCTGGAAAGCTGGGGATCCAAAGGCAGATGCATTTGAGGTTAAGATGAAAGGAAACTGAGAGGGTCTTAGTGATGATGAAGTTGTTACGTTTTGCGGCACTTTCTATACTTTGTAAAATAAAAACATTAGATTTATTTTTAAAAAATGAATTCCAAAAAATTATTGCAACAGGAGAAGGTACCAACTAAGTATAAGATCTTTATAGCTTGCGAAGATTTTGGCAGAAAAGGGCTTTCTTTTTTAGGGAGGAGTGAACATGGTTAGAAAGGAGGTGGGAGGTGAATGGCAAATGGAGAGTGAAAAAGTCAGATTTTAGATGAGGATGTCTTACCCTGAAATCAGCATGTTCTTAGGAAGGATGCAAAATGGGATTGTATGTTGACTCAGACTGAGGGTAGCTTAAAGTTCAGGGAGGGAAATAAACTTAAGTAAAGTTTGATTAAGAAATATTTTAGTCCAGGCCCAGTGGCTCATGGCTGTGATCCCAACACTTTGGGAGGCTGAGGCAGGTGGATCACCTGAGGTCAGGTGTTTGAGACCAGCCTGGCCAACATGGTGAAATCCTGTCTCTACCACAAATGCAAAAATTACTGGGAGGCTGAGGCGGGCGGATCACCTGAGGCTGGGAGTTTGAGACCAACCTGACCAACATGGAGAAACCCCATCACTACTAAAAAAAAAAAAAAAAAAAATTCATCAAGATGGTTGGGGGTACCCCTATTTACACCCCCGCTCGGGGGGGGCTGAGGCAGGAGAATCACTTGAACTCGGGAGGTAAAGGTTGTGGTGAGCCGAGATTGTGCCAGCACTCCAGCCTGGACAACAAGAGTGAAACTCCATCTCAAAAAAACAAAAAAACAAAAATTCGCCAGGTGTGGTGATGGGCACCTGTAATCCCAGCTACTTGAGAGGCAGAGGCAGGAGAATTGCTTGAACTCAGGAGGTGGAGGTTGCTGTTCGCCGAGATTGCATCACTGCACTCCAACTTGGGTGACAATGTGAAGAAATGTTTTATTTTGACCACTGAAGACAAATTCAGCTGATTTTTTTTAAATGAGAAAAAGGAGAAAATGTGCAGAGTGTGTGTCTTGCTGTGTGATACGTAAGAAAAGAGAGCACTATCTTAGTCATAACGGGAATAGTGTTTCTTTCCATAAATTGTTCCTGGAGCACACAAAGGATGGAGAATTTTATTAATCACAGATATTTCCCAGGATTATCTATGTGTTTCATCCATCTCCATTTCTTTTGTTTGTTCTATGCATTTCTTCCATTTGGCTTTTCCTGGGCTGCATCTCACATATTAAACTGGTAAACATAACTAGTATTTTGCTGAGTTCTGTGAGTAGCTCTACCAAATTATTAAAATTCAGAGAGGTTATGGGAGTCCCAAGTTTTTAAACAGTAGCTCAGAAGCATGGATGGACCCATGGGTTTTTTGACTGGCATCTGCCGTGAGGACAGTGTGGTGGGACTGAGCCCTGAATCAGGGTCTGTGTTGACTCTGGGTGGTGTCAGAATTCAAATGTTAGACAGTAAGGTCAGGAGTTACAGACCAGCCTGGCCAATGTGGTGAAATGCCGTCTCTACTAGTAATACAAAAATTAGCCGGGCATGGTGGTGTGCACCTGTAGTTTCAGCTACTAGGGAGGCTGAGGCAGAAGAATCACCTGAACCCAGGAGGCAGAGGTTGTAGTGAGCTGAGATGGCACCACTGCACTCCAGCCTGTGCAACAGAGTGAGACTCCATCTCAAAAAAAAAAAAAAAAAAAAAAAAAAAATTACCCTAGAAAACCTTAAATGATTTGTTTAAATTGCATATTAGTATGAAGCATAAAGTTGACAGGGCAGTGGCTAGAAAATATTAAAATTACAGAAACTCTGGGTTTTAAGGTTTTTTTTTTAGGTAACCTTTGAAAAAACAAACCTGGTGGTACTACAGTGGCATAGAGAGCAGGATTCTACATAGTGTCCCCACCCTGCCCCAGACCTGTTCAGATTCACCCTTTTTGGAGGCCTTATTTTTGTCTGACCATACCTTGGAATCTTGCCTCAGAGAACTGATTAGAAGAGATCAGAGTTTTGGCTAGTGAATCCTGCTGCCTTTCTAGAGCTGGTGCTCACAATTTCCTGAAACCCAAAAGCAGGTAAGTGGGATAAATAAAGTATGTACTTTAGGGTCTTAGATTTTAAATGTTCTATTAAAACCAGTGCTTGCAGAGACATTGTATTTAGAATCTTGTTTTCCATTCCTGCAGATCCAGTAGTTGTTCCATAAGTCACAAAAAAGTAAATATAAACAGAATAAAATTTTGTCTAAACTACATTAACCTTTCTTCCTGTATCTCTTTCATCTGTCTATATTTAGCTTTTATTCTGTACAATTGTAAAAAAAAAATTGATGACAGAGGAACAGAAGAAGAAATAAAGATGCTGGGCCCTTTTTCTAAATCCTGGAAATTATTAAACCAGCTCCCAGGGTGTTATGAGAATTAAATCACATAATGTATTATGTCCAGCACAGTGCTGTGTATCATACTCTTGAGCACATAGTACCTGCTTAATAAACATTGCCTTGGTACATGTGTACATGTTGTTTTTAAAATACAGACCTACTCAGACATTGCTGCCTTCTGTTTCCTCTGTAAACTTTAAAGAGCCAGCAAAGAATATAAAACTTTAGGATGCAGATGGGTTGTCCTTGTTTGTACCAGAAGTATTTGGTTGTGACAAGAGTGCTAAGCCTAAGGGATCCTGTGCTGTGCTGGGTTTAATAATTTCCAGGATTTAGAAAAAGGGCGCAGCATCTTTATTTCTTCTTCTGTTCCTCTGTCATCAATTTTTTAAAAAATTTTACAGAACAAAAACTAAATATAGACAGATGAAAGAGATACAGGAAGAAAGGTTAATGTAGTTTAGACAAAATTTTATTCTGTTTATATTTACTTTTTTGTGACTTATGGAGCAACTACTGGATCTGCAGGAATGGAAAACAAGATTCTAAATACAATGTCTCTGCAAGCACTGGGTTTAATAGAACATTTAAACTCTAATGTTAATAATGCACCAAGGGGAAGCAACATCAGCATTGATGGGGGCTTGTTTAAAACATCCATTCATGGGCCCTTTTCAAACCTGCAGAATTACATAAAGTGGGGCCAAAATTACCGAGTGAATTATAATAAGCTTGTTAAAGCTTGAGAGGCAATGCTTAGCTTATTGATTATCAGCCCAGGCTTCTTATTAGGATCACACGGTCGATTTGCAGAAATGTGTTGTGCCCTCCCCACAAGTTCTGTTTATTTTTGTGGGTGGAAGCATCCACGCTGTTTTAATGAAGGGCCTCCTGTGACTCTAAGATGAGGCCAGAATCAAGTATGAAGGCTTCAAAATACATTCATGAGAGTTAAGTTCCACCTTTGCACTAAAGGGTGGTCATAGGGCCTATTCTGTTTGGATTTGGAAGGGACTGGTAGTTCGTGCATATTTCCATTACTGTAGCAGAAATTGCTGGTGTCTGTGGCAGGGGAGGGCACCTGAGGACAGGAAAGGAGAAACTTATATTTTCATCTTCATGGAGCAGCTCATTGTTCCTGAATCTCTTCTGTTTTAAAGGACAGAAATGGGTGGATTTTTTTGTTATTCTGCCAGTTGATGTCATGCTAGCAGGTAAACATGTGGTACTGACACCTTTAAAGGCATATTCTCAAGACGCAGTTGTAATTTGTCCAGAGAATCTCGTCTGAGAAGGAATTCTATAGAAGGAGGAGATAGGAAAAAAAAAAAAAAAGGGATTTTCTTCAGGTAAACATGCCTCAGCTGAAAAGCTGTGTCCACTCTGCTTCCTGGAATGCCAAGCGTTTAGTACTTGAAAACCTTTACTTCTCTACTTGTGTTTTTCCTCCCTAAGGAGTTTGGTTTAAATACTTCTTAAAATTCTTATGATAGTCAGGGGTCTCTGAAAAGTATTTCTTTCCTGTATCCCAGAGCCTTCTCTACATTCTGTACAGAATAACTTCTTATATGCCATGAAGATTTATCAACAAGAATTTATGATCTGCAATATTAAAAATGTTCCCTTTGTGGCTGTTGAACATGGAAAGATGTGGATACTCAGCATTTCTATTGGGGAAAACTGTGGTCCTTAGTAAAGGTGGAGAAAATACAATGTTGAGGCTCCATTCGTGTGTTCTGTTAGCTGTATGCCGAACAGGATTAAGAAATTGCTTATTTAGGTCGGGCACGGTGGCTCACGCCTGTAATCCCAGCACTTTGGGAGGTCGAGGCGGGCAGATCACCTGAGGTCAGGAGTTCGATACCAACCTGGCCAACATGGTGGAACCCCGTCTCTACTAAAAATACAAAAATTAGCCTGGTGTGATGGCAGGTGCTTGTAATCCCAGGTACTTGGGAGGCTGAGGCAGGAGAACTACTTGAACCAAGGAGATGGAGGTTGCAGTGAACTGAGATCGTGCCATTGCACTCCAGCCTGGGGGACAAGAGTGAGACTTTGTCTCAAAAAAAAAAAAAAATTGCTCATTTAAATGTGATGGCATTTATTACCCAGAAATTCTGAAAAAAATTGTTAGGCGATACCTACTCTCTAGGGTGCTAAATGAAGCCTACTTAAAATTACTACTAGAAACTACAGAACATAGGTGGTGTCTGCATTTTGAGGTTTGCATAAAACCGATGATTCTTTTTGATTAAATTCAGATTTTATTTGCTTTTTTAAAGAAGGAATATTTCAACAGTGACACTGTGTTCTTCTGCGTGCATTAGGACATCATGAAAATTTGTCCTAGTGCAGTTAATGATTAATGATTCACTTGCTTAAATAGCTCTCTGATGATTTTTTTCTTTTTTTTTACTATATAGCTAATTATTTTTCTCTTCATTGTTAAGTTTCATTATGCAGCTGATGTGCATAAACAATCATATTTAATCTGGCAGCTGTTCTTTTTTCTTTTTTTTCTACGTATTTTTCTTTGGAAAATGAAGGCTCTTATCTTTGTTTACAGGCCAGAAAAACTGGAAAAAACACAGACTCTTCCACTTACTGGATATCTGACAAAATATCCTTCTTGGGCCAAAAACATTGACATTATTGGTGAGCTTGTTAGAAATTCAAAAAAAATCAGACTTTATTCCAGATCTTCTGGAAAAAAGGGTCTTCACCTTATTATACATACTAAAATTTGAGAGGTGCCTTCTAACTCAACATGTATTTCTCATCTGAAAAATATTCACAACTCATTCCATATGATATAAATATTCATTCAAAAATGTACATGTTTGTGTTCATGCCCTTAATTTTATACTTTATTATCTATAAAAATACATGAACTGATGTGGATCTTATGCTCCTCTTTTTTCTCAGAGTTGCAGAATACTTTAGAGAATATTTCTGTGTTGAAAATTATTTTATTGGATAATTTTAATCAATCCTGTAAGTCAGAAGCAGTTGTATTCACTCTCTCATTTCACCTTAAGTCAAATTAAAAATTCTACCCATAATCACTCGGTGAAAATGTGTGCATGTGTGTGTTTCAGGGGCCATTGCAATTTAGAGACGTGGCCATAGAATTCTCTCTGGAGGAGTGGCATTGCCTGGACACTGCACAGCGGAATTTATATAGGAATGTGATGTTAGAGAACTACAGAAACCTGGTCTTTCTTGGTGAGAAAAACTTTAATACATAGTTCATAATATACACAAAATGTTTTATTTCTCTTTTTTGTGGAATTTTTTTAGTAATTTATTCTTTTTATATAAAAGAGTTTCAGATCCAGTTTTTCAAGAAAATCTTCAGAATTTGTTCATTTAGAAAAGAATTACTTCAGTGCCTCATGCCTGTAATCCCAGCAATTTGGGAGGGTGAGGCTGGGGGATTACCTGAGGGCAGGAGTTCGAGACCAGCCTGGCCAACATGGTGAAACACCGTCTCTCTAATAAAAGTACAAAAAATTAGTTGTGGGCTGTGGCACGCACCTGTAATCCCAGCTACTCAGGAGGGTGAGGCAGGAGAATCGCTTGAACTTAGGAGATGAAGGTTGCAGTGAGTCGAGATCATGCCATTGCACTGCAGCCTGGGTGACAGAGCAAGATTCTGTCTTGAGGAAGAAAAAGAAAAAGAAAGAAAATAAAAAAATTTCTTCAAGATATTTCATCTTAATAGAAACTTTCCACATTTCTGAATTGAGTTATATTCTTCACTCTAAATTAGTGGTAATTCCAGAAATTAACTGACATAAAATATTGTAGCTTCCACCTGAAAATCTAATTGTCGCCACCAATTTTTGATTCAGTAGTACCAGGTAGTAAAATTAGGAAACCTACAAATTGAAAGTTTTTTTTTTTTGAGACAGAGTCTCGCTCTGTCACCCAAGCTGGAATGCAGTGGTGCAATCTGGGCTTACTGCAACATCCACCTCCCAGGTTCAAGCAATTCTTCAGCCTCAGCCCCCTGAGTACCTGGGACTACAGGCGCACATCACCATGCTCGGCTAATTTTTGTATTTTTAGTAGAGATGGGGTTTCACCATGCTGGCCAGGCTGATCTTGAACTCCTGACCTCATGATCTGCCCGCCTCGGCCTCCCAAGATGCTGGGATTACAGGCGTAAGCCACTGCACCAGGCGAATTGAAAGTATTTTCTAAATATTTAGAAATTTCTGTTACAAATTTGTATTTTGGTATTAATTTACTAAAATATTTTATCACATCATCTTTCCTGAGCACATTACTAGCTTGTAATTGGAGAATATGAGCAAGATTCATGTTATTTATTTTTAATAAAACAGGTATTATTGTCTCAAAGCCAGACCTCATCACCCGTCTGGAGCAAGGAAAAAAACCTTTGACTATGAAGAGACAGGAGATGGTAGGCAAGCCCCCAGGTAGGTGCGAGTGAAAGCGAATACAACAGACAACAGGGATAAGAGGCCCAAGGTCAAAGAGAAAGCCAGTTCTTAAGGTGTGATTCGGGAAGCTGTTTTCCAAAGGAACTTCCTGGGCAGCCGGTTTTTTTTTTTTTTTTTTCTCTTTTTTAAATTTTGCTCTCACAAAGGGGCATATTGTCTTATGCTTTTAAATTCTCTAAAAATTCTCCTTTTCTTTTGGTGAGCTTCCTTCGTGTTCACAGTGAGAGCCAAAGTCATCTTCATGGCATATAAGAGACTGCACAATCTGGCTGATTTTTCATTGTTTTGGGAACACACAAATATCTGACTTATTTTGAGAAACTAAAACTATTTTTTAGTTCTATTTTTGCATCAGGTCTGAAATGTGTGAGAGTAGTAGTTTCTATTGCATTTTTTTGTCCATTTTTGTGCACGGTCCATTCTGTTTTTATTACTATACAGTCTTGAAATATAGTTTGAAATTATAAGTATGATATCCTGCTTTGTTCTTTTTCCTTAAGATTGCTTTGACTATTTGAAATTTATTTTAGTTTCATGTAAACTTTAGAATTGTATTTTCCATTACTTAAAAAAAAAAAAAAAACACTGCAATTTTGATAGGAAGACTATTGAATCTATAGATCACTTTGGATAATATGACACTTTAATAAAATTTATTCTTTCAATCCATAGACATAAAATATTTTAAAATTAATTTTGATTTTCTAACTTTTTTTATTGTAAACTTTTTTTTACCTCCTTAGTTAATTTTTTCTCAGAAATTTATTTAATGCTACATTAAATAAGATTTTTTCTTCCTCATCAGATACTTTAAGTGTAAGAAACCATACATATACTTGTGTGCTTAATTTTATATTTTGCTAATTTACTGAGTGTATTTATTAGTTTAGACAGGTTTTAATGTAGTGTTTATGGTTTTTTAAATATAAGATTGTGTGATCGACAAACAGCAACTTTTGACTTATTTTTCTTCAATTTCAATGGATTTTTTTATTTCTTTTTTTTTTTTCTTTTGAGAGGGGATTTCACTCTTTTTGCCCAGGCTAAAGTGCAATGGTGTGATTTTGACTCACTGCAACCTTCGCCTCCTAGGTTCAAGCGGTTCTCCTGCCTTAGCCTCCTGAGTAGCTGTGATTACAGGTACTCACTATAACACCCAAGTAATTTTTTGTATTTTTTTTGGTAGAGATGGGGTTTCACGCTGTTGGCAAGGCTGGTCTCCAACCCCTGACCTCAGATGATATGCCCGCCTCTGCCTCCCAAAATCTTGGGATTACAGCCATGAGCCACTGCACCTGGCTGGATTTTTTTATTTCTGTGAATAATTCTTCCGCCACATACTTCCAGTACTACATTCAAAGAGAAGCATTGACAGTGGGCACAATATAGTTTTGTATTGGTGTCTGAATTTGATGGAGCAAACACCTCTTCGAGTTTTCATAAACTGATTTTAGAAGCATTTCCTCCGGGAACAGTGTGGGTTTCTTTTTTGTTTTGTTTTCTTTTCTTTTTGAGATGTAGTTTTGCTCCTGTTGCCCAAGATGGAGTGCAATGGTGCGATCTCGTCTCACCACAACCTCTGCCTCCTGGGTTCCAGCGATTCTCCTGCCTCAGCCTCCCAAGTAGCTGCAAATACAGGTATGCACCACCACGCCTGGTAATTTTGTATTTTTAGTAGAGAAGGGGTTTCTCCATTTTCGTCACGCTGGTCCTGACCTCAGGCTATCCACCCACCTCAGTCCTCCAAAGTGCTGGAATTACAGGCACCGCACCCTGCCCAATTGCGTGGATTTCTACGTGGGCAGAACTGACCATAAACTGTGGCTCAGGTAACTGAAACTGTCATAGAACTGCTTCAGGGACTTCAGTAAAGGCCACGGTCTGCAGGCCTGCCTACATTGTTGTAAATGGGTGCCTTCCTCCAGGTCTCTGGTATGGCAGGACCTCTACCAGACTGTGGCTGGGAGGAGTTTGGGTTGGTTACAGAGTAAGTTCAGAATTCTCAGTGGGACCAAGTTGGGTGAACCCTATCCTGGTGCATAGCCATGAATGGGGGTCCTGTAGTTTTTCACCTGACTAAGGGCCTACCTTCTGAATAGAACACTTCTCAATCTTAAACTTTAGCAAGATTTCACAACTCCCTCCCTGGATCTCAAATCTCTCTTAGAGGTGCTTGTTTTGGAGATGGTGTCTTGCTACATAACCCAGGCTATTCTCAAAATCCTGGCCTGAAGCAGTTCTCCAACCTTAATGTACCATGTAGCTGTCATTACAGATGTGAGCTATAATGCCTGGTTCTCTCATAAAAGCATTTTTGTCAGAGAGGTCTGACTTTTTTTGCTGTAAGGGAATATGAATATAGGGAATTTTAATCTTTTCCTCTTACTGATGTCACTTTCCCTATACATTTTTACTTTCTATTTTCTCTTTCAGATTTGTCTGTAAATTTTGATTCAGATATTTGGGACAATATGTTAGAATTTGCATGGTGTGCCTGAAGTAAATTAGATAATTCATAGGGACTCATATTTACTAAAATATTTACTTATAAATTTAAGTTTGCTGCAGGCAAAAAGGAATTAAAGGATTTTCATCTACTTTTTAAGCCTATATATAAATAATAATGTAGTTTATTTCTCAATATTTGTTTTACGTATCAGAGGGCCTAACCCTATTCTGCAAATTATATATTTTTTTATTTAACAATGTAAGGCTACTCTTTGCTTCTAAAGTTGGCTTATAGCAGTTTCATTTTGTGTAAGAATACCATATATTTAAAACATTAAAAGTAACTCTAGTTTCTTTTAAATGCTAATTTTTAAAGTTTCTCATTAGAATCTTCTATTTATACCGCATATTCTCCAAAATTTTACTGCCACACAGCGCATGCCAATGATTCAAAATATCTGCAGTTAGTGAGTACACACTAGCAGTTAAATATTTCAGTTATCTAGAAACTTTTTTTTTTTTTGAAATGGAGTCATGCTCTGTCACCCAGCCTGTGGGGTGCAGTGATATGATCGTGGCACACTGCAACTTCTGCCTTCTGGGTTCAAGCAGTTCTCATGCCTCAGTCTCTCAGGTGCTGGAGTTACGGGCATGTGTCACCACTCCTGGCTAATTTTTGTATTTTTAGTAGAGATGGGGCTTTACCAAGTTGGCCAAACTGGTCTAGTTGTGAGCCACTGCACACGGCCTGACAATTTTTTTAATGATACATTAATGTTGCATACTAGGTTTTATGAGTAAACATTTCTTTTATTATTGTTTTGAAGTTTTATATTAGTATGCTTTTTCAGTGTAGGGTTTTTTTCTTTTCTTTTCTTTTTTTTTTTTGAGACAGAGTCTTGCTCTGTCACCCAGGCTGGAGTGCAGTGGTGTGATCTTGGCTCACTGCAACCTCTTCCTCGAGGGCTCAAGCTATTCTTCTGCCTTGACCTCCTGAGTAGCTGGGACTACTAGTGTGTGCCACCACGCCTGGCTAATTTTTGCATTTTTAGCAGAGACGGGGTTTCACGATATTGGCCAGTCTGGTCTGGAACTGCTGACCTCGTGATTTGCGTGCCTCAGCCTCCCAAAGTGCTGGGATTACAGTTATGATCCACTGTGCCTGTCCTCAGTGTAGGTTTCTTAACATTAGTTTATTGGGTGTTTTGGTTTTACTTAATGTATTATAATTTTAGATAATTTGCAATTCTGCTTGTACATTTTAAGTCAATTTTAGGTTTAAGAGATAAATTATGCATGTCTGTCACAATTAGATTACATATGTATGTCTGTTTATCTATAAATATGACCCAAATTTTAGTCATGGCTTATCTTATATTCTTTCTTAGCTTATTTTCCGTGGTAGTTTTATCTTGTCTAAGTGAGTACTCATGGAGATAGTCTTATTTTTACCATGTGTTTAATTATTAACATATATTTACTTTTGTGAGAGAAACACTTTTGTGATTTGAAGGTAATTTTCAAAAAAATATGTAATTCTGGTTTTTTCTCAGTTTTTCTTTAAAAAAATTGTCTTAAAAACACATAACATAAAATTCACCATCTTAAATCTATTGAAGTTTACATTTCAGGGCCAGGCATGGTGGTGGCTTGGATTTGTAATCCTAGGATTTTGGGAGGCCAAGACAGGAGGATCCCTGGAGCTCAAACAGCCTGGGGAGCATATGGAGACTCTCCACTATAAAAAAAATGTAATAATAGCCAGGCATGGTGGTTTGCAGCTGTGAGCTACTTGGGAGATTGAGGGGGAGTCAAAATTGTGCCACTACACTTTAGCTTGGGTGACAGAGTGAGACCCTGTCTCAAAAAAAAAGCTGTTCATTTTAGGCATGTTAATTATATTCGCTTTGTTGTGCAAAATACTTCTAGAAACTTTACATCTTGTAAAACTAAAACTCAATGCCCATTAAGTACCAACTGCTCATTTTAGCCTCTCTCCAGCCCTTGACAGACAAACCTTCCATTTTCTGATTTCATGATTTTGACTGCTTAAGATACCTCACATAAGTGGAATTATACAATATCCATAATTTTGTTACTGGATTAATTCAGGTGACATAATATTCTCAATGTTCATCTTAAAATGTGATAAGATTGTTCTTTTTAAAGTGGAATAATATCCCATTGTATGTATATGTTACATTTTTTGATGTGTTTATAAATCAAGAGATATCTGGGTGGTTCAGCCTTTTGGCTTTTTTGAATACTGGTACAAAATACATGGATTTTCAGTTATCTTCCAGGTCCTGTGTTGCATATTTTTTTTGTGTGGTTTGTTTCCTTCCTTCCTTCCTTCCTTCAGTGGTTGGATCACGAGTTCAGCAGATCGAGACCATCCTGGTTAACACGGTGAAACCCCATCTCTACTGAAAATACAAAAAATTAGCCAGGTGTGGTGGCAGGCGCCTATAGTCCCAGCTACTCAGGAGGCTGAGGCAGGAGAATGGCGTGAACCCGGGAGGTGGAGC